ATCATCTTAACATGAAGTAAGGCCCATCAGGCATTATTAAATTAGTCTGAATTTTGCAGTATGTCAGCAGCATTTTATGTACATTAATAGCAGAGTTAATGCCCCTTGGGGGATTCTGTTGAAGAAAAATGGTTTCAACGTGGTGTTTGGGTATCATTTTAGAGTCACTATTTATATTTCCTTGGATTTGCTTTTGTCGCTTGTGAATAGGTAAGACAAAATGGCAGCGTTAAAGTGTATTTTTTGTCCCTCCTCTGACTCATTATAATAAATACTGTTTGGAATATGTGTTTTTCTTTGAATAGTTTGTCCTTGCTGCAGAATAATGTTTCCACTCTGCTGAATTTTAGGCTTCCTCTCTGGGGCTCACAAATTGCTTCTACGAATTCTTAAAAAAAAAAGGTATCTTTCTGTCATTTGAGTATCTTTAAATCTTGTATATAGCAATATTGTTATTTTGTATCAAACATTCTAGTAGCCTTGTTCTTCTCTTTTCCATAGGCCTTCCTGATCTCTCCAGAATATTTATAAACTGTTTGTCAAACAGCAATCATATAGTTTCCTCTAAGGATAACTCCTACTGGCTTATACAGAGGAGTTGGCATGTACAGAGGAGTTGGGTTTCTCAAAGCACGAACTCGAGTCCATGTGAATCAAAATCACCTGGACATTCGTTAAAAATTTAAATTCCCTCTGGGAGTGGTGGCTCTTGTCCGTAATCGCAGCTCTTTGTCAGGATGAGGCAGGAAAATTACTTGAGCCTAGGAATTTGAGACCAGCGTGGGCAACACAGTGAGACCCCATCTCTAAGAAAGAAAATACAGAAAAATTAGCAGGGCATGGCGGGTGCATGCCTGTAGTCTCAGCTACTCAGGGAGGTATATGAAGACCCAAATTACCTTTTGTTATGTGGGCCACATGAATTTAGAAATTTAATATTATGTATTTATTTTTTGAAATGTTTTCACAAGCCCATACACTTTAACTTTCAGAGACCTACTACGTAGGTGGAAGCAGAAACTGCTTATCTTATCTTTCAGATGAAGAAATCAATGCAGAGATGAGACTTGAACCTAGGTCTCTTGACTAAACCTTATATCCCTTGAGCCCAGGAGGTCTTGTGAGCGCCAATGTACTCCAGCCTGGGTGACAGAGTGAAACCCTGTCTCAAAAAAAAAAAAAAAAAAAAAAAAAAAAATTCCCTATCTCCTTCTCAAACAAATTAAAATGAAGGAAGGTAATAAGGGCACAGAGTTGAAATCTGAGGGATTCCTATGCTAAAGTACAGTCATATAGCCAAAACACTCAAGCATGAGTTTAGGTTTCCCACTTGCTAGATATGTAACCTTAAGCATAATACCTTACAAGAACCTCTGTTTACTACTCTGCAAAATGAGTTGTTGTTAAAAGAATTAAATGTGATTTTGTTTAGTTCAATGGCTAGTTCAGTTAGTGCTCAGCAAATGGTAGCAAATGTTATTACAGTGCCACACATTTAGATTTAAAATAAATGTCTTTTGATATAAGAATTAAATCTGGTACAAATGCACATTAATCCTTGGTAAAAACTGTTAAGATTCCCCTTTGCAAAAATGGACAATTACATTAATAGAACTTATTGCTGACTCTAACTAAACAGCAATACCTTTGCCAAGAGGGTATAAAAATGTTGAGTGAAAACATTTGAACATAATTAAAACATTAATATATGCATGGACTATGATTTTAGATGTAGCTGTGGTCTCAAAAAGCTTACAATAGTGTTTTCCTCCCCCCTCAAGTTTAGCAGTAACGTTAACATTAGACCAGTGGCTCTCAAACACTTAGGTATCTTAAAAATAATATTAAAGATCCAAAATATCTTTTGTTATGTGGGTTACATGAATTGAGAACTTTAGAATTATGTGTTTATTTTTTGAAATGTTTTCATAAACCTATACAGTTTAGCCTTCAGAGATCTACTAAGTAGGTGGAAGCAGAAACAGCTAATCCTATCTTTCAGATAGAAATCAGTGCAGAGATGGGACTTGAACTTAGGTCTCTTGACTCTAAACGTTTTGTCTTACCCCCCTCAACTGACATTTACTGACCTTCTAGTGTATGATCAGGAACTGAGAAGAGCACTTTCATATATCTGATAAGTAAACAAATTTGTTATGGTTATAAGGTATTCTTATACTATGATAATACATATAAGATTCAACACTGCCTAACTAAGCTGCTGTCTTATATTTAAGATGAAGATGAAAAGACTTTTAAGGCCCTGAAGCAGGGTGGCAGACAAGTTAACTTAATGATATGTCACAGACGCAGTCTGCAGAGCTTACAAGCTTAAACCTACATGATTCTTTGTAGTTACTTTTATCAATCATTCATTGTCCAAATGATATAACTTAGTTTGGTTATTTATTTATTTATTTTTGAGACGGAATCTTCCTCTGTTGCCCATGCTGGAGTGTAATGGTGCAATCACAGCTCACTGCAACCTCCGCCTCCTGGGTTCCAGCAATTCTCCTGCCTCAGCTTCCCAAGTAGCTGGGATTACAGGAGCCTGCCACCATGCCCCGCTAATTTTTGTATGCTTAGTAGAGACGGGGTTTCGCCATGCTGGCCAAGCTGGTCTCCAACTCCCAACCTTAGGTGATCCGCCCGCCTTGGCCTCGCAAAGTGCTGGGATTACAGGTGTGAGCCACTGCGCCCGGCCGCAACTTAATTTTTAAAATTTGGTGTACTCTGAAGAGATTCAGAAGAGTGATCGTTAGGTGGCCTACAAAACTCGCACAATGAGTACTATAGCCAAGATCAGAAATTAGATCCACAGCCTCCAGTTTAGGTCATTTATGAACTAAAATTCAGACTATGAAATTCAAACAGTAACTTCTTAAAAAAGAATGAGCTCTGATATCAACTATGAATTGCAGAAATATTACAATCACCAATCCACATCTGATATAGACCAAAAAAGAGGGTATTTTGGTTTTCATCAATGGATGTTGCTAAAACTATACAGAATAAATCGTATATCTTGGTTGGCCTTAAAGTACTGTTACCTTTGAAAGAGGTCAGAAAGGTACCTTAATGGAGGCTAGATGTTCAACTGCTGCTTTTCTATTTTTTACTGTGATCTGAATAAGCACTTACATTCTTTGGTTCTCTGCAATTTTTAACTAGGCATGATCGGTATGCTGGTAAATGTTTAACAACTGTTTAAGAAAATGGAAGCCCTGAATTGTAACATTTTTGGATTTCCACAGTGTAAACACTTCCTTGATGGCCATTTTTTGGTTTTTATTTTTATTTTTAGAGATGCAGTCTTGCTACATTGCCCAGGCTGGAACTGTACTACTGGGCTTAAGTGATCCTTCTGCTTTGGCTTTCCAAGTAGCTGGGACTACAGGTATGCACCACAGTGCCCAGCTCATAATAGTCAATTTTAAGATAACAGTGTGATGTCAACCATGCTTGCTAAATTCCTAAAAGTTTAACAGATTTGGCTCTTGTGAGCTAGTAAGAGCTGGTAAAGCAAAACACTGGCTATGACACAATGCTAATCTATATATATTTTAAATGACTAGGATAAAATAAAGCTAACCATAAATGGAAAATAAAGCAATCATTAGTAACACTAAAACTTTAAAAAATCACTTGGATGAAAATAGAATAAGACTGCTTGGTCTGAAGCCAAGAAATCTGAGTGTTGGTCCAGTTACTACCCCCAACTCTACGATACTTAACAAATCACTTACTCAGACCATGCCTATTTGCCATTAAGGACATGGGAATAGATGATCCTTAATTTTTACAATATATTGATTTTCTCTCTCTCTTCCTTCCTTTCCTTCTCCCTTCTTTCTCCTCCTTCCTTCCCTCCCGCCCTCCCTTTTTTTTTCCCTCTCTCTCTTTCAGACAGAGTCTCACTGTCACTCTGGATGGAGTACAGTGGCACAATCATGGGTCACTGCAGCCTTCAACTCCTGGGCTCAAGTGATCCTCCTGCCTCAGCTTCCCAAGCAGCTGTGACTACAGGCATGCACCACTACACCTGGCTGATTTTTACATTTTAAGTAGAGACAAGGTCTCACTATGTTGCCCAGGTTGGTCTCCAACTCTTGAGCTCTAGGGATTCTCCCACCCTAGTCTCCCAAAAGTACTGGGATTACAGGCGTGAGCCACCGTGGCCAACCTACTACAATACATTATTTTATAATGGGAAGGCATATCACAAAACAGGATGTTATGTAAAACTCTCTTAGAGGCACAATTATGAAATATGTATTAAATGGAGTATTATTAGCACAGCAGTTAAAACTGGCTCACATGCCCATGCCTGAAATTAGGGTAGGCCCTCATGTAAAGCATGCAGATGGCAGAAAACAAATTTAATATGTTCTGCCTTTCCTTTCTATTCTTTTTGGCTTGATTCTGATGGGAATCTGCAGGTGAATTGTGTGTTCAGGATTCTCAGTCTAAAGATATGAGGAAAAAGGCAGAGAAGATGCCCATTAGCAGAAGCACAAAATGCTAGAGAAGGTGGACAGTTGAAACAAAAATTCCAAGTCGGGGAGGGTGTGAAGCCTAAAAATTGGTAGACGCAGGATTGAAAACAAAATGCTTCCAATATTAATGATCAGTTTGACATTACAGGATATTCAAGCTATGCAGATCAATCATGTAATTTTTATGTACCAGCAATTATGTTTTCTGTGAGAAAATATGCAAGAAAAATTCTCAGAAATGACAGGCATTTTGGAAAGGGGTAGAAAGATAACTGCTACTTTGTTTCTAGTTAAAATGGAGGTGGGTTATGAAAATCTTTGATGATAAAGACAGCCTGGTAAACTGGGGAACTGAAACAATTTTAAGCAGAGAGAGCAAAAAAACAACATTTAGTTACAAATTAAACAGTAGTGAAATAAATTCATAATTTCTATCTCATCTATTAATAGAGTCTTTATGTGTTTAAAAACCATCTCATTGCTTTTTTTAATTATTAAACTTACTTGACAGCCTGGTAATCCAGTATCTCTGCTGTACAGGGAAAATGAGCCTCTCTCTGATGTTTTTCCTATAAAACAAAAAAATTAACTTTATATAAAACTCCTCATTTATTGACAATCAAAATTCTAGACTATTCATGGTAATTATATTGCAGTTTAAAAATAGAACAAATTAGAAATAAGAGGATACAATCCAATAATTTGTAAAAACTTGCTATCATTTCAGTCAGTCTGAGTCAAATTCTGGGCAGGATATAGTGACTCACGTCTGTAATCTCAGCACTTTGGGAGGCTGAGGTGGGAGGACTGCTTTAGTCCGCTAGCTCAAGACTAGCGTGGGCAATAGTGAAGCCTGTCGCTACAAAAAATAAAAAATTAGCATGGTGATACATGCCTGTATTCCCAGCTACTCAGGAGGATGAGGTGGGAGGATCACTTGAGCTATATAAAGTAACATGTAAATACTTTATTTTCAATGTATAGTATTTTAAAACACAGTTAAAAGAATGAAAAAGACATTTATACAGCCAACAATATGGTCCATGTACCCACTAGTTAGAATGTTTTCCCATGTTTGCGTCAGATTGAACCTTCTTCTCTTCTTTCTCTCTCAAAAATTAATACAGTATTGGGCCGGGCACGGTGGCTCACACCTGTAATCTCAGCAGTTTGGGAGGCGAAGGCGGGCGGATCATGAGGTCAGAAGATAAAACCATCCTGGCTAACACGGTGAAACCCCGTCTCTACTAAAAATACAAAAAATTAGCCAGGCATGGTGGCACGCGCCTGTAGTCCCAGCAACTCAGGAGGCTGAGGCAGAATTGCTTGAACCCAGGAGGCGGAGGTTGCAGTGAGCCGAGATCACACCACTGCACTCTAGCCTGGGCGATAGAACAAGACTTTGCCTCAAAAAAAAAAAAAAAAAAATTAATACAGTATAGACATAGCTCAAACCACACCTCTGGATAACTATTATCATAATATTGATGTGCATATTTACCATGTATGTTTTGTACTCTTAAATATATATTCATATTCTCGAACAATATACATTACTGTTTGCATTTAATACATTTAACAGATGGAATTACATGCTATTTATCTTGAAACCTGCATTTCCATATATTATGTTTTGAGCTATGTGTTCAAAACAGATCCCTAGTTTGAGTATCTTTACTGCTATACAATGTTCCATTATACAAATAAAACCAGTTTATATATTCCCCTACCGAAAGATAGTTTTTATATTTGTTTGTCATGAGCAGTATTGAAACAAATATCCTTGCACGTCTTGTAAACACACACACACACACACACACGTCCCTTCAGGACAGACACAAATAAGGGAAACTGGTAGATTAAAGGATGCTAACTTTCAGCTTTACAGGCATTGATTACCTTACTATTCTCAGAAGTCACCATGCCCATTTATATTCTTCCCAGAGACATGTAAGAATTCTTGCTGTGGTGGGGGGCAGTGGCTCACGCCTGCAATCCCAGCACTTTGGGAGATAACAGGCCAGAGGCGGGCAGATAACCTGAGGTCAGGAGTTCAAGACCAGCCTGGCCAAAATGGTGAAACCCCATCTCTACCAAAACTACAAAAACTAGCCAGGTGTGGTGGCACACACCTGTAATCCCAGCTACTCGAGAGGCTGAGGCAAGAGAATCATTTGAACCCAGGTGATGGAGGTTGTGGGCAGTCAAGATTGTGCCATTGCACTCCAGCCTGGGCGACAAAGTGAGACTCATCTCAAAAAAAAAAAAAAAAAAAAAAAAAAAAAAAAAAGAATTCTTATTGTGACTATACCCACTGATACGGTTTGGCTGTGTCCTCACCCAAATCTCACCTTGAATTGTAGGTCCCATAATCCCAACATGTAGTGGGAGGGACCTCGTGGGAGGTAACTGAATCATGGAGGTGGTTACCCCCATGCTGCTGTTCTTGTGATAGTGAGTTCTCACAAGATCTGATGGTTTTATAAGGGGCCTTTCCCCTTTTACTTGGCACTTCTTGCTGCTGCCATGTGAAGAAGGATGTTTGTGCTTCCCCTTCTGTCATGATTTTGAGTTTCCTGAGGTCTCCCTAGTCATGCTGAACTGTGAGTCAATTAAACCTCTTTCCTTTATAAATTACAGTCTTGGGTTATGTCTTTATTAGCAGCGTGAGAACGAGCTAATATACCCACAGTTCAAAACTTTCATGGCCAAGTATCAGGAATAGAATGGGCCAGTTCTTAAGGGAGAATGGATGTTAAGTCTCACAGCGTTAACAGTAGGGTACTCATTCATAGGTATTCAATATACTAAGCGAATTTGCAATGTAGCATTTTTGAGGTTCAATAACTAACGCCCCCAAACATGGTGCTTTGACATGCTGGATTGAAGCAGCAGCCTCAAGGTCTGTCTAAGTCATGCCCTCTCCACCAGACCCCTCCCCACAATCTTCTGTTTTTTGCAAAGCACAGAATGAAGTTGTTCTCTGAAATTCCCTATCTATTTAGAAAGCGGACCTGCCAAAGAAGAACACAACTGTCTTCCCTGAGTTTCAATTATTCCTTCTATGCCAGTCATTCTAAGTTGGCATTTCCCTTCAGTCTCTGCCATCTTCTTGTTCCAAGAGGATTTCTGATCCATTTTGATTAGATGCAGGGAAGGCTGTGTATGTCAGAATTCCAAGTGTACAATCCTGTAATGGTTTTATTTTGTAATAACTAGTTTTACTTAATTCATTTATTTATTTTGAGACAAGGTCTTGCTCTGTTGCACAGGCTAGAGCATAATTACATAATTACAGCTCACTGCAGCCTCCAACTCCTGGGCTCAAGCAAGCCTCCCAAATCAGCCTCCCAAATAGCTGGGACTATAGGCGTTTGCCACCATGCCTAATTTTTTAAAATTTCATTTTTAGTAGAGACAGGATCTCACAGTATGGCCTAGGCTGGTCTCAAATTCCTGGGCTCAAAAAATCCTCCTACCTCAGCCTTCCAAAGTGCTGACGTTACAGGTATGTGTTACCACGGAGGCCTGGCATTATTATTACAAGGATTATTTTCCCTATCTAAAGGGTTAATAGATGTCAGATTTAGAATTGTAAAACTTTTACATCAATTAGTCAGCATGACATGTATACTTTAATGAAAATGATACTAGTCCATTTCTGAGGCTTTTAAAAAATAATTATGTATCATATCAATAAACAATTTTCAACATCCTATTCACGTGTAGAGTTTTTTTAATTAGTGAACTACATTTTTTATTGATTGATTTTTTTTGAGATGGAGTCTCACTCTGTCACCCAGGCTGGAGTGCAATGGCATGGTCTCGGCTCACTGCATCCTCCGCCTCCTGGGTTCCAGCGATTCTCTTGCCTCGGCCTCCCAAGTAGCTGGGACTACAGGCGTGTGCCACCACACTCGACTAATTTTTGTATTTTTAGTCAAGATAGGGTTTCACTATGTTGGCCAGGCTGGTCTCGAACTCCTGACCTTGTGATCTGCCCACCTCAGCCTCCCAAAGTGCTGGGATTTCAGGCATGAGCCACCACACTCAATCATGAGTTAATAATGTATTGTATTTTGACTCAAATGTCCTAGTAAGAACTCTTAAAAAAAAATGTTGAGGTGGAAAAAGGAACAAGATTAGAGGTGAATATTAGCTCTGTTTTTAATAATGTACAGCTTTTAAATACAATCTTAATTATCTGTGTGGAAGCTACCCACATAATAGATCATTTTAAAAAACCTAAAGTTTTAAACTTACTTTCCTGTGCTTATTAACATTCCTAAAATTTCTTATCCTTTCATAAAGGACATTGAATTCAGAGAGAACGAAAACTAATTTAACATAAGCTGAAGATGTTGCAAAGTAAAAGTTTCTTCTGAAATGAAAGTTGATAGCTTGTTTTCAAAATGATACTTCATCTATTCAAATAAGAATTTGAAATGCAAATACATTTTTATTTCACCTTTCATTTATTAGAAACTAGTTATTTTCTTAAGGACTTATACATTTGAGTATCCTTGAAATATAATAATGCATACTCAGTCTAAGACTTAGGAGGCATTCATTTTTAATTCTTTCAAAATTATTTTTCACAAGAACTATTTTCATGAATTAAAATTAATCATATACATTGTCTTTGTTTTATCTCAGGCATCTGACGTCAAAAATCTTTGGCAATTTTTAAACATAAAAATACATGAATGAAGTATACAGACAATTTTAACTGGTCAACTTCAGCTGAAAACTGTTTAAGAACTACTAGTAATGTAACACATATCTAATTTTCCTTGAAGCACCTGTGAAAAAATTATTAAAAAGAACTTTCTGGGATAGTCTAATACAGGGTTTTTACTAGACCCTTGTGTTGTGGGGGTGTGGGTGTGTATAGGTATGGATGTGTGCACATGTGCATGAGCCTCTTGAGCGGACTTCTCAGAATCATGATTATAAATGTACAAAACAAAATATAAGTATTTTAATGTACAATGCCATGTAATTGTCAAAATGTTCTTTTAAAAACCTCATATTTCCTATAATTTATTAACACATTAATAAGATTTAGCAGCAGGACTAATAATAATTTGAAAGCATAAATAACAGTTTAAGATACCTGCAACAATTATGATATGAAAATATCTATTGTTCTACTGGTGACAAAGACTGTAGGTACTGTCTGGACTATTTTGCTATCCTTATTCAAAATGGAAGGCCATGCAAACTTTCACTTAGAGATTGGTAAAAATAAAGATGACAATTTTTTCCCATTCAAGTTCATTGATTCTCCTTCTGTCCTGGGATTCTCTGGACCCCAGGTTAAGAAACCCAACTCTAGTAGAATAGCAACATATTACTGGAAAATATACAAGAATAATACATATATATGTATATTAAACCATTAGATACATAACATGTGTGCAAAGGTATTTTAAGTAGCTAAACTTACATGGTTTACATTAACCAGATCCAGCATTTTCTGACCTAAACTAAAAATTGCTCAAGAAACGACAGATAATTTTGACTAACTTATACAGTATTTAAAACATTTATTCAATTTATACAGTAT